ACAGACATACAGGCACACACAGATACAAACATCCATTCCCACCCTCATGCTCTCATATGCACTTAAGTTTAAGCTCTTGATTAAGGACACTGAAGCTTATGCAAGAAGAGGAGGTGCTCTAGAAGTACATGATGCAATACCAACCAGACCTGATCGACTGCCACGTCTGATCCACGTATTTGAAACAGAAGAGCATCTTGTTTATTGTCATTTTTCATGTCTGCAGTAACATTTAGAGAGAAGTTCTTCTTCAAATGGCCCATTATTATGTGTTCAGATCCTTTTTGTGGCAATACAGGAAAATTAGTTTGAGTGCAGAGAGCATGAATATTAAATTCAATCACAATGATGATGCAGACTGAGCTGAAGATGCACTTACATGCTACGTTTAGCATTTAACTGAATCAAAACTCCTTTCCTGGGACTTTGTTTCTTTTCTGTCACTTTCTGTCACTGAAGCAATAAACAAAGCACAATTTTTGCATCGTCTTTGATTTCAGTTTCTGCACAGACTTGTTGGGGGTGCAGGAAGGAAGAGAGACGTTGGCTTATAAACAAGCCTAACCTCCCCTTCTTCACATTCATTTATTTATCAGTATACAGGAATTGATCTAAGGAGTAGGATGAGCTGTCTATATTGGAAGCTCACGTTTGATTGTGTGTATTATGGTACGAAGAAGGTGCTTTGGTGTTTGCAGGAGGGCGTCAAATTTCATCTCATCCGTCGCTGCTGCGAGATGATTTACGAGTCGTCGAAATGAAACGACTACCACGGGCTTGAAATAGATCTTTGACTTTGTTCACTTCTTCTCTCGGTGCAGTCATCCATACCATGGATGGGAACTCTGCCGGCAGCCCCTGTGAGTTCCCCTTCAAGTACAATAACAGCTGGTATCATGGATGCCTCCCCGATGCAGAATTCCCTGGAATGTCCTGGTGTGCCACCTCCTCAGACTATGACCAAGACAAGAAGATGGGACGCTGTCTGAAACCTGGCACGTTGTATTTTTATTTACTTGTAGTTTTAATGGTTTAATGTTTTTTAACTGTTTCTTTATTCACCAAGCCACTAACATATTTATTTTTGAGAGCATTTAAAGCAGAAAATTTTTTTTTGGTGTGGTCATTTCCAAATGATGTCGTTGCACAGTTTAACCAACAGGGCGGGGTCAGCTCCATTAATAGTTAGCACTGTCTGCAGCACATGTAGCGGTATAACTTTAGACTCATATTATATATAAAGAATATATTCTTATATCAACATCAAAATATTTACCCTATTTAAAAAAGTTACCCTAATAATCTTTTTGTATATTGTTATATTAATATAACAGTTCACGTTCATGATATTAATGACTTAAACATTCTCGTTGCACATAAATGTGTCCAAGCTTAAATCCACTTTTATTTGTTAATATTGAATATCCGAAGCTACATGAAACACAAACTGTTGATAATGATACTGTTGTTGTGTCTTTGACTTTGCAGAGGAGGGCTGCCAGACTCTTTTTACTGGTCCAGACGGCGATTCATGCTATGAGTTTGTCACCAACGGTGCGGTGACCTGGCACGAAGCTCTGGATTCGTGTCGCAGTCAGGGAGCAGATCTGCTTAGTTTCTCTGGGCCCGATGAGCTCAATTCTACAATCTGTAAGACTGACTTACTACTAGTACTTCTATTACTGCGGCTACTTCCATAATACAATTAAAAAAACACAAAGGTTTAAAAAAAATAAGTACATTCAGATTGTCTTTGTGACAGAAATGTCTCATTTACAACAAAAAATTGCAATAATGGTGACATGAGTAATGCTCGAGGATTTGATTTTAAAAGAAGTATAAATAAGTAATGAGAAAAATGATTCAGATCGTCACTGTATGAGCAGGCCTGTGCTTCTCAAGGTCTTGAACTATTAGTCACACAACCTGGAAATAAAAAACACACAAACACACTTTTTCTACCTTTAGTCAGTCAGAACTAATCCTTCTAAAACAATCCTGTCTTAATGTAAATATTTTCTGTACTGTGGTGATTTCTAAATGACTTTATTTAAAGTTTCTTTCTCCTTCCTTCTATCGCTTTGTTTTTTAGTAGTTTATTAGTCTGCTTCTCCTATTTAGTGTTCCTTGTGTGACAAGTAGAGACGTACAGAAAGGAAAAGAATCTGTGAACGACTGCAAACTTTCAGTCTAAATAAGTCCTGGGATTTTTGTTCTTACTTTTTTATTTGTCATAGAAGCCACATATTTTTCATTTCCTCAATTTGTTTTATTTATGTCCTTTGCTTCTTAATCGTCATTCTTTGGGATTTTCAGTGGATGATTACAAAAGGGTGAACTGTAAAATGTTCGCCTATACAACCCCATTTCCAAAAGAGTTGGAGCACTGTGTAAAATGTACATTAAAGAAACTGAATTTAATGGTTTGCAAATCTCACAAAATCTTACTTTATTATCATCAGCCTGCAACTGGATGCATGTGATCTTCAGGCCATCTTTTTGGAATTGAGATTGCATCTAAAGAGTAAATGAAACAGCTGTGGAGGCTCAAAGTTTCAACTTGATGATTGAAACTGCATTAGACTTACAATTTCCTTCATTACATTTACTTGTCCTGTGCGCTGTGGTGTTGCATTGTGCAGTGTTGGACGGCCTTGGAAGAATGCCGGAGAGGATGTGGATCGGCCTTCACCAATTAGATACTTCTCAAGGATGGCAGTGGTCAGATGGCTCTCCTCTCTCCATGTTACGCTGGGAACAAGGTAACAGTGAATATGAATGTATTTTTCACCTGTTACTTACTACTCATTCTCTCTGAGAACTGTGCTGCACATGTTCTCATTTTGCAGCCTCGTTTGTAGGCTTTGTTTCCACAAAACCAGAATAACACAGTTTCACTTGCCAGAAACACCTGGTCCTCTCACCACACCAAATCTTGCATCAACGCTGTGTTTCTGCTCGTCTATGAAAGGGAGCGTTGGTGTCGGTCAGAGAAACAATGAAACTAGTGTTGTGAAGAAACCCACTGTGCCACACACTGTGACACTGGGACTGCTAATGTTGTTGAATGACCCATTTACAGTACTGAGTAATGCCTGCTAGCTTTTGTAATGTGTATTTCTTCTTAACGAGAGCAAGCATGAATGTAGCATGAAGTATATTGCAGTCATTTAGTTTTCTATTGATATAAACTCTTTGTGATTGCTCTCATCAGCAAGATTGTGCTGGATCAGAGAACTCTGAACTTCTATGTAAAGCACAGTTGATATGCTAAACTTTGAATGATACCCACATCTCTTGTCCTTCTCGCAGTGACTGTTTATTTTTATTGATATTTGTGTGGTTATATATTTAACAGGAATGCCCTCCACCTCCATCATCATTCTGTCAGACTGTGGAGTCCTGAACTCCAAGAACAACTATGAAACGATGGCGTGTAACAGGCGGCTGCCATACGTCTGCAAGAAGAGAGTCAATGCCAGTGAGACAACAACAACAGGTGAGCTGGCTGCTGACGCTCAGCAGTTACACTTCTATTGAGTCATACTTACAAAAAAAAAAGAAAGAAAAAGATTTGAGCGCCGATTTGGTTCACCACATATACCGCAGGGCTTGTTGCGGCAGTCTGGGTTTGGTTTGGGGCTCTTTGTTGCGTTTCTTCCCCCGCTTTCTTTCATCGCTTTCCTGTCTAAATCTTCACCGTTCTGTCAAATGAATGTAAAAATAATGTGCTAATCCTAATGGCCCTGCTAAGCTGTGCTGATACGCAGTAATGCTTTTGAGATGAATTCTAATGTTAGCCTGCTAATAGGTTTACAATAACAATGCTAACAAGTATTCTTAGTTTAGTTTGTCAGCTTGCTAAGGTCTCAATAACAGAGGGCAACTATCTGGCAACTACCACATACAAAAGAAAGATGTATATTTCCCAACTGACCAGGGGTTGCAGCAGGTATACAGCGCTGCACCAAAGATCTTTTCGTGATTGCTTTGACTGCTAGCAGGTTGCCACGGTTGCTGATCGTTTGTCTGGAAGTCTTATCAGACTGCAAACAGTCTTTTAAATACTTCTCAGACATCGAAAAGTATAATGCAAACTGGAAATGGACAACATTTGTCTTCAAAGTCAAAGCTGAACCTTTTGAAATGTGCTGGTTGCAGTGGGGAAGTGTTGTAGAGTTAATGGCAAGCATCTAAAGACAACTTGGCATCTTCCAACTGTTGGCAACTAAGGCAATCACAATCTGTTGTTGGTGCAGCACCCTCTTCGTAAACATTTTCAGCCCAGAAGCTTTATGACCATCTGCCCAGCCAGTAGTCAGCGAGTGTTTGCAGACACGTTGGTGTCTTTTATGCAAATAATGGGTGAACACAGTAATCTGCTAGTAACCAAAGCAATCATAACATTTTTAGTGCATTTCACTAAGCAGCCGGCAGCAACCTCAAGCATCCATTCACCAACAGATTGGGGAATATACATTCTTCCTTAACATAATACAATAATATAATAAGGTTGAGCCTCTTCTGTCACTTTTTTCTCACAAAACATTTTCCTTTTTTTCTTTCAAAGTAATGGTTTAAGGATAATACAGCACTGTGGATGTTGTACAAAATATGAAGCCCTCTAAGTTAAATAGCCTTGATCTAAAACGCCCAAATTCCCTCAAGGCCTCTGTGTGACTTGACTTCTCTCTACAGATTCTTTTGTCTATAAAGAAACGTTGTGTAAGGATGACTGGGTGCCGTGGAACGGACTTTGTTACAAGTTGATGGAGCAGCCAAAGAACTTCAGCGCTGCCCAGGAACAGTGTAAAGCTGAGAATGGAGTGTTAGCCAGTTTCCACACTATTGACAGCAAAGAGATGATCAGCACTAATTTCCACGGAGGTAAAACTGTGCAAGTTTCTCTTGTGTTATAAATAATTGTATAATTAATATATTACCGGTAATGAGTCTTCCTAACATGTTCTCATTTTCTCTATTTATGTACAACATGTATTTTTTTATTTTATAATAGAGCCATACAGTTAGTACTGAAGTATCGTGATTTACACCCTACTGCCTTATTTTTGATGAGAATGATTTCCAGGCCTATGCTTTCACTGTTCGAGTCAAATTTAAACAAAGCCTGAAATTGAAAATGTTTGTGTGTGTTACTGCTCATCAGATGGCAAGACTTTAGATGTGTGGATCGGTCTGGTTGGTGTTGGCACGAACTCCACCGTTTTCAACTGGACGGACGGAGCACCCATCACCTTCACTTACTGGGCTCCATCACAACCGGTCCAGCCCACTTCGGATACCAGCTGTGTCTCCTACACTGGAGAGGTCTGTGTGTGTTGGTGTAACACACATCCACTGTACTCAAGCCTTGTGTGCACATTTGTGTATGTACTGCCAAGAGCATTACATTTGTCCTGTTTGAGGTCTTACAGAAACGCACGCTGTCTGTTTTTCCACAGTTTCATAGTTGGCGGATTGAGGATTGCACACAGATGCTGGCCTTCATGTGCCAGAGGAAAGGAGAGGTCAATGAATCAGCAGCACAGGTCGGATGTAGCTCGAAAGATGTGAGTATTCTCGCAAACAGCAGTATTTTACATTTCCTACTAAATGTGTGGTGAGATACTTCTACGCCTCCACACCAGCAATTAAATTTCATATGTTAGAAGGATGTAGAACCCATGCATATGTTTGGTGGTGTTATAACGAGAGCTTACTGTAAGGGTCAGATGATTTTTATGGCACTATGGAGTCATAAAGGAGTTGAGAAGCAGATGCCGAGCTCTATTGGCAGCTGTTGCGGATAGAAGCAAATAGATTTGTAAACTGAAAACAAAACTGTAATCCTTGATGGTGGGGGGAAAAAACACTCATGCGACTGTTGACAAGAAATCCTGTTGCAAAAAACAGCATGCATGTCGTAACTTGAATTGTGAAAGAGACGTAGTTCTAGCTTGCAAAATATGACTGTTTTTAACTGACCAGGGTTGGAAGAGACATGGAAACTCCTGTTATAAAGTGAACATGACGCAAGTGTCCTTCAAGGACCATTGCTACGTCACCATAAGAAACAGGTAATCAAAAGCGTTTTTGTTATCAGTCCAAAAGATGACCTATATTACATTTCTGTGGTTTTGCAGTTAAAGAAACTCACTCACATTTGACTGTTCTTTCCAGGTTTGAGCAGGCCTTTATTAATAGTCTGCTGCAAGAGACGGCAGGCAAGGAAACTCAGTATTTTTGGATAGGGTTGCAGGACATCAACAGAGAGTACAAGTGGGTGAGGGCAGAGGGGTCGACGGATGTGGCAACATACACCAACTGGGGCGTGTTTGAACCAGGTACAAAGACTTGAGGCTAATGGCTAAAGTATCTGTATATAAAATGTTATAGCAGACTATAGTGTTACAACACATTGTATTTAATTGTGAACCTCTAATAGTAGTTTCTTTATACTGTGGAGGCTCAGATTTACTGATTTTTTTATTTTTTTTCTCAACCATTTAGGTTTTTAGAAATGTGAAATTTACCAGACACACTCATATATTATACCCCTATAGCTTGGTCATTAACAAAGAGCCTGCCATGAAATGAGAAGGCTATGACGTGTGAGCCTAAAGTTTGATGAATCTGACCTTTATAATCAAAATCCATACCTAGTGTAAATATGGCCATCCCCCTTTTTATATGTTCCGTATACGCTATTCAGAGAAATGTCTGTTCACCTCAGAATACTCGCTAACATGCAGTCAACATAATAAAAAATGATCTAGTTCTTAGCATTCCTTAAAAAGAGGTAAAAAAGAGGTAAATACAAGCCAAGATGTTTACATTTTTCCATTATTTATTTAGCAAAAACAAAGCCAAGATGCAGAAGTGGTGTAAAAATCAAACCACTTTTAGCAGCAGTCACTTTGAAGTAATTATTATTTGACTTTACCAGTCTGCCATGTTGGTGAGGAGGAATTTTGGCCCATTCTTCTTGACAGCGTCGCTTCAGGCATTTGTTTATACACAGCAGTCTGAAGGTCCCACCCAGCATTTCAATCAGGTTGAGGTGTGGATTTTACCAGGGCATTGCAACATCTTGAGTCATTTCTTTTTCAGTCATTTCGTTGCAGATTTACCTCTGTGCTTTGGATTGTTGTCCTGCTGCATTACATTATTTTGGGACAAGCTTTAGCTGTTGGACAGATGTCCTCATATTTGACTCTAGATACTTTGATATGCAGAGGCGTTCACGATTGACTCAATGATTGCTAGCTACTCAGGTCCTGTGACTGCAAAACAAGCCCAAGTCATGACCCCTCCACCACCGTGCTTGCCACAGTTGGCATTCTGTTGATGTGCTATGTTTGGTTTTCACCAAACATGGTGCTTTGGATCATAGACGGATATCTTTACTTTGGACTTGTCTGTACACAGCAGATTGTTCCAGGGCTCTTGTGGCTTCTGGCTTGATTTTGGTGACTGTAAAGATAAATGATATAAATCCCTATTGGGTGGTATTGGTTACACCAAAAGATGCAGAGCTGAACTTTCTTTTACTTCTATCAGTATCTTATATGTTTGTGTGAGAATATATGTTATATATAATCGTATATGTTATAATAGATGTTTAACAAATGAAGACCCAAGTAACTTAATCGACTGCTCCACCACAATATGTCATAACATCAATGAACTGGTTATCGTAACAGACACAATCTACGTAATAAATGTCACTTTTAAAGATTGAATTTCATTTTGCTTCATTTTCTTTATAGATCAGCAAGGAGGGTGTGTTGCAATTTCCACTGCAAAGCCTTTGGGTAAGTGGGAGGTGAAGAACTGCACTCTCTTCAGGGCCGGCACCATCTGTAGAAAAGACCTCATTACACCTCCTGCCCCAGAACCAGAACCAAACCTTAATGCATCGTGTCCTAATGGCTGGGTGTCCAGGCCAAACATCAAATACTGCTACAAGGTGTGTGTATGTGTGTGTCTCTTTAAACAGCACCAATAAGAGATGGCTCTTTTGTTTTGGTTTTGGTTTTTAGCAAAAGTGAAAATGGTTGTAAGTAGGAGTGGCAAAAGCACTGCACTGATTTTACATTTTGAAGTCTTTTTACAAGGCTTCAAGATCATTTCTCCTGAAAGGAAGTAATATGTAGTTTGGTTCTAGCTAAACTGAGTTTTTTCACAATCTACACCATCTAAGCTGTCTTAAATTCTTCTTTCACCTTGGCAGGTGTTTCATGAAGAAAGGTTGAGCAGGAAGCGCTCCTGGGAGGAGGCCATGAGGTTCTGTCAGGCTCTAGGAGCCAATCTTCCCAGTTTCACAAACTTGGATGAAATGAGAGCCCTACACTTCATTATGAGAGAGACCATCAGGTAGGCACACAATCAACACAAGTTGTGTTTCCTGTTATAAGTAACAAAGGGCTACTGTCATGCATCAAGTCACAAGTCAAGCACAGGAACACGCAATACTGTCTGAACTATTGTTTGTATACCAGCAGAAAGAAATGTATTTGTTTTTGTCACATTAAAGGAAAAAAATTGCCCAAATTGAATTATTTAAAAAAAAAAAAAAAAGAGCAAATGAGGTTTCAAAATTGTGAAAAATGAGCATCATTCCTCACTCTGGATTTCTCTGGGGTTGTGTCTGTTAAGATTGCTGATTGGCAGCTCTCACATGAATCTCCCTAAATCATGTTCTACTAGAGGTTTCTTCCTGTTAAAAGGGAGTTGTTTCTTCCCATTGTCACCAAGTGCTTGCTCATAGAGGGGCATCTACCGGTAATTCTTGCCATTTTCTCTGTGTTATTGTAGGATCTTTTGTAGGATTTCAGCTGACTGTTTTTGTGAATTGGTGCTCTATAAATAAAACTGGCTGCTGAAACCAGCAGGCTAAAGCTCGGTGAGAGCTGGCTCACCAGTAATAGCGGATTGTCTGTAAAACTCATCTTAGTTAGTGAAAATTTCCAAGTGTAAAGTCATTATTAAAGAGACAGCTGTCAGCGTGGCTCTTCTCAAAAGCAGTTCTGTTCTGTATTCATAGAAAATGTATGACCAGTTGCAGGAAAAAGGCAAATCTGTATAATCAGGCCCCATCTTTTCCTAAAGACCTCATAATACTGGATTATCCCAATAGAGCACTTAGTTCTCAGACTGCTGGCTCCCTTGCGGCTCCTTGAGTTAACGGTAGAATGGAAGGCAGAGACTTCAGCATTCACATTGCTGGGGTTTTGCCCAAACACTGTAGGGTCTTTACCCTACCTACATTATAAAATGTGTGAGCCTATATTAGCGCTATATAAATTTGAATTAACTGGCTAGTTAACCATATGGTAAATGGCCTGTATTTGTATAGCGCTTTTCTAGTCCGTAAGGACCCCTTTACACAACCAGTCATCCACCCATTCACACACACATTCACACACTGGTGATGGCAAGCTACA